TATATTTAACCTCCTACCCCCTTCAAGAAATGACATTCAACATTTAAAATTTATATATATATATATATATATATATATATATATATATATAATTGAATGAATACTGCGAATGTAATCTATGAATACCACAATGTGATTAATATCATGAGTGTAAGTAATGAATATCATGAGTGTAATTTAAAAAATAAATAAACTCATCTGGGGTCAGAGACAGAACAGCCACTAGATACAGAGGCTAGAAAATGGTGGCACTCACACCTTTAATCCTAACATTCCAGAGGCAGAAATCCCTCTGGATCTCTGTGAGTTCAAGGCTACATTGGAAACAGCCAGGCATGGTGACTCACACCTTTAATCCCAGAAAGTAAGCTTTTAATCCCAGGGAGTGATGGTAGAAAGCAGAAAGGCGTGAGTGCCAGAAACTACAAGCATTTGGCTGGTTAAGCTTTTAGGCTTTTGAGCTACAGTTCAGCTGAGACCCATTCTGGATGAGGACTCAGAGGCTTCCAATCTGAGGAAACAGGATCAGCTGAGGAATTGTGGAGGTGAGGAAGCTGTGGCTTGTTCTGCTTCTCTGATCTTCCAGCGTTGACCCCAATAACTGGCCTCAGGTTTGATTTTATTAATAAGAACTTTTAAGATTCATGCTACAGCTTACTCTTCCACATCACTATTCATCATTGAAGGAAGTCAGGACAGGAACTCAAGCAAGGCAGGAATCTGGAGGCAGGAGCTGATGCAGAGGCCATGGAGGAGTGCTGCTTACTGGCTTGCTCCCCATGGCTTACTCAGCCTGCTTTCTTATAGAACCCAGGGCACCAACTTAGAGGTGGTACCACCCAAAGTGGGCTGTACCCCCCTCCCCCCACCATGAATCACTAGTTAAAGCCATATAGGCCTGCCTACAACCTGATCTTGTGGAGATACAAGGCAATACTAACACTAACTAAGGTGCATTGCTTGGAAATCATACCATACTGGAGATGATTGATTGTACTCTGAAGAAGGCAATGTTGAAGGATCTGGCTGAGTGATGTTCAAATACCCAGGTGAAAGCTGAGGAAGTTCTAGAGCTGTCTGGAGAGCATGCGAAAGGGAACTGCCGATACAAAAGCCTACCGCTCATCCCGAAGATGAGCTTAACTGGGACTTTTCTCTATTAACTCTAGCTGGCTATCAAAAGAGCTAGATGAGAATAAAAAAAATGAAAGAAATCTGTAGGGACAGGAGAAGAAGCTTGAAGATGACTGGGACTGTCTAGATCATGATATAGACTCTGTTGCCTAAACTGCAGGACAAGCAGTTTGGATAACATGAAAAAAAGAATTGTATCTATAATTTTGACTTTGGACACAGGGTCATTTACTGTGAGTTTGTTTTTTCTCAAGTTCTTGTAACTCACTAACAGTGCCATTTCTCAGTGGAAATCACACAGGGCTTGGGATACCTTAGTGGAGTACTTTAAGGGCGGGCTCATTTCCTCTCTGGACTTGAAGCCCACAGACAATATTACTTAGATCCTGTATTGATTATTGCATAAGAGTGAGGTTCTTGTATTCTGGAATCAATTTATTGGCACACTTCTAAAGCACGTTTAATTCTAATTCTGTTCTCTGCTTTATTGTGATACAGAGAATTATTCTGGAGCACTTTTAAAAAGAAAAAAAAAATGTATGTGTGTTGTTGCAAATGTGTGTGTTTGGGTATGCAAAGACCAGAGGAGTGTGCTGTTCTTTATCACACTTGAGTTTTTTTCTTTAAGATAGGTCCCCTACTGTACCTGGAGGTCACCTAGTGATCCTTTTGTCTGTCCCCTCAGTGACTGGTGCTAAATGTGAGAGAGCCATATTGGGCTTTTATGTGGGCAGTAGGATCCAGATTCCTCATGCTTGAGGGAAAAGAGCTTTTAACCACCGAGCCATCTCTCTAGGTTCTAGAGTACTTTTTTTTTTTTTTTTCAAGACCGTTTCTGTGTATTTTTGGTACCTGTCCTGGAACTCGATCTGTAGACCAGGCTGGCCTCGAACTCACAGATCCGCCTGGCTCTGCATCCTGAGTGCTGGGATCAAAGGCGTGCGCCACCATCGCCCAGCCTCTAGAGTACTTTTGAGACTCCAGTAATGGGAAGGGATTTTTTAGTGTCTTCAGTCAGTGTTGTTAATTCATTGTGGGATAGATTGGATTGATTTCCAAAACCTGGATAATGTCATAAGCAACACATGCCATTAATCAAAAGGTTACTGCACTTAAGAATGCTTCTAGATGATTTTGAAAATTGCAGGGGTTTATTTGAATTGAAAGCAATTTTATCATATTTTCTATAGTGCTTTTTTGTGGTGTTATTGTGTTCCCCAAAATATTGTGCACCCTAATAAACTTATCTGGGGTCAAAGAACGGAACAGCCACTAGATACAGAGGCTAGAAAATGGTGGCACTCACACCTTTAATCCTAGCATTCCAGAGATAGAAATCCCTCTGGATCTCTGTGAGTTCAAGGCTACATTGGAAACAGCCAGGCATGGTGACTCACGCCTTTAATCCCAGGGAGTGATGGCAGAAAGATAGATAAGGCAGGAAAACCAGAAACTAGAAGCATTTGGCTGGTTAAACATTTGGCTGGTTAAGCTTTTAGGCTTTTGAGCAACAGTTTAGCTGAGACCCATTCTGGATGAGGACACGGAGGTTTCCAGTCTGAGGAAATAGGATCAGCTGAGAAACTAGCAAGGTGAGGAAGCTGTGGCTTGTTCTGCTTCTCTGGTCTTCCAGCATTCACCCCAATAGCTGGCCCCAAGTTTTTTGTTTTATTAATAAGACCTTCTAAGATTCGTGCTACAGCTTTTATCTTTTTTCTTTTTCTTTTTTTCTTTTTGGTGTGTGTGTGTGGGGGGGGGGTTGAGACAGGTTTTCTCTGTGTAACAGTCCTGGCTGTCCTGGAACTTGCTTTGTAGACCAGGGTGGCCTCAAACTCACTGAGATCCTCTTGCTTCTGCCTCTTGAGTGCTGGGATTAAAGACGTGTGCCATCACCATCTGGCTTCATCCTTTTTTATTTTTTTATTTTGTCTCTTTTTGTGATAATTTAATTCAAGGTCCTGCTTGAACAAGGGATGTAGCTGAGTGGCAGAATGCTAGTATGTATGACTAGAGGCCCCTCTTGTAGTTCACTCACTGTTCTTTGATTCTTAGAGTGACTCTGATATCTGAGGTAATATATCTTCTAAACTGATAGGCAGAAAATTCCAAATTGGATCAGGAACAACCTGAAAACGTGGTTTCCATTCTGCAGTCTGGTAGTCTGTCACTTCCTGGAATGTGTGCTGTCCCTAAGAGAGCCCAGTCTTGTAGGAGAGTACTCTTCTGGCCTTTGAGTTTCATGTGAACACACCCCATACTCACACTGCCTTAGTTAGGGTTACTCAGTTAGGTTGTTGTGATGAAACACTATGGCCAAAAGCAAAGTCAGGGAGGAAAAGGTTTATTTAGCTTACTCGTCCACATCACTGAAGGAAGTGATATGGACAGGAACTGGGAAGGAAACAGGAGGCAGGAGCTGATGCAGAGGCCGTGGAGGGATGCTGCTTACTGGCTTGCTCATCATGGCTTGCTTGCCCAGTTTGCTTCCTTAGAGAACCCAGGACCTCCTGCCCAGAAATGCATCACCCACAATGGCCCCAGGCCTACCCCATAATTTACTAATTAAGAAAATGCTGGATCTTAATGGAGGCATTGTCTCAACTGAGGTTCTCTCAGAGTATTGTGTCTAATTGACATAAAACTAGCCAACACACACGTCCTTCATCATTTGAGACCGAGTCTGTTGCTAATGTTGACAGACTGGCCTTGAACTTTGTGTTTGCGCAATCCTCCCAAGTAGCCAAGGTCCACTTTAGGCTTTTTAATCCTCCTAAGGTAAGACTTTCATAGATTTAACAGTTTTCATTAACAGGTTCTTCTCCTCCTGCTCTTTATCAGTTTACATTATTGTGCTTAATTGTTAAAGGCCTTGTGTACTCTAAGCTGGGCCTGGAACTGAGTTTTTTGTTATTGATGTTTTGTTCTTGTTTTTATTTGGTTGGTTATTTGAGACAGGGTTTCTCTGTGTAGCCCTCCCTAGTTGTTCTGGAACTTATTCTCTAGACCAGGATGCCTCGAACTCAGAGGTCTGCCTGCCTCTGCCTCCTGAATGCTGGGATTAAAGTCATGTGCCACCACTGGCCCAGCTCTTGATTCGATTTTTATGATGCGTCCAGAACATCTTTTGATGATTTAATGGTTACTGATGGTCATGGTGGTGACTACTATAATTCAACATTTGGGGTGCCATGGCAGGAGGGTCAGCAGTATTTTAAGGCCAGAAACTAAACCAGAGGGCTTGTGACATAGCCTATCAATAAAGGCACTTGTCATCAAGACTGAGGCCCTGTATTTAAGCTCTGGTACCTCCATGATAGAGCTGACTCCTGCGAATTGTCCATTCTAGGGAATGCATGTGCATGCCTACTTGTCCCATGCATGATGTGCACATATACAAATAAACTAATACAGAATTAAAAAATAAACAAACAAAACCACATTGGAGCATTGCTGGGATAACCTGTAATCCCAGTGCTCTGGAAGGTTGCCGCTTCCAGGCCGGTTTCAGCTACATAGTAAATTAGAGTCCAGCCTTAATTGGAGTATCCATGCTGGCCTGCTTTCCAAACTGTTCATGAAGGGGCATTTTTTCTAGTTTTTCAAATTGTTTGGTGATGAAGAAGTCGTGTGTGGTTTATGGCTTTTGCCCAGCATGTTGGTGGAGGTTTTATTGAACTTTTAAATGTTTAAAGCGGAAGGTAGGACTTCATTTTTAAAATCTCACGTCGGACGACTGGTTGCTTTCATCCCTCCTTCCCTCGCTCTCTCTCCTCCAGGTGTCTTGGCAGGCGTTTGCTTCTTTCTTTACTGCCTGTTACTTGCTGACAAACAAAACCCAGAATTCTCGTTTTTTGTTTTCTCTTTAGTGGCTTCCACAGGAGATGAGATGTGGTCTGAGGGACGGTATGACTACGAGCGACTTCCAAGAGAACGCGTGCCCCCTCGGAGCCATGCCAGTGTAAGTCGAGCCTGCTGTGTCTGTCTGCCATCTTGTCTTCTCCAGCCTCTTCAAACACCAGGGGTTTACCAGCCTTGCGGAAAAGTGGACCAAAGGAACCTTTTAAAGGCTAGGAAACACATGGGAGCGTTGTTTTTAAGAAAAACCGTCTTGCCCTTGTGATCCTCCTGCCTCAGCCTTTCAGGTAGCTTATAGGACTGCAGGCAGGCCTAGCTGACAGTTTATTACTTGATCCTATACCTTACCTTGATGAGCAGTGCCATCTTCAAGGTTGTCATTCATGGACCTGAATTACAGCTCAGGTTGAGACTGATATAAAATGATTGCAGATAGAAAATGAGGAAGCCGGTTACATTAGGATGGGCGGACTCAGTAATTATCGTGTCATTGCTTTCCGGTTGTTCTAATACGTTTTTTTAATTTGATCAAATTATTTTATGATTCACCTTGAAGAACTAAAGAATGATGTATGTTAGTGTCGTATAGCTGTGGGATACCTCCTAGAAAATGTTAAGTTCTCTTTCCCACTATATCCCTTGAGGAGAATTCATTTTACCAGCTGGGCATTGACATGCAGGCTGTGCTTTTTCACCTAGTAGCTTAATTTGTGGATGGGAAGAGCAGATTATATTGGTTTAAGATTACAAGATGAGTGATCGACCAAGGCTGACACTCAAGAACTGGACTCGGAGTCATTGAGGTAATGTATTGTGAAATGAACTCATCAAGAAGAGGGAACTAAGACGGGAGTGCTTTAAAAGAAGTGGGGGCTTAGGATCAAGGAAAAGCTACTTGAGGCCCAAGGCTACCTTTTGGTAGAAGGATGGGCAGTGGGTGTTTTAGAGCATGGAGTTCCCAGGACGGCAGCGTTCTGGGTGAAGTTCAGTGTATTGATTGGTCACAGAATGCTAGTCTAAGAATTAGAATTGAAGAGCTGAGGATATAGTTCAGTTAGTGCTTGCCTAACATGCTTGGTCCCCTGAGCTGATCCCAAATACCTCAAAAAAAAGGGAAAAATAAAAGTGACGGAAGTCCTAATTGAATGAACATTTTATAGTAAAATGTAAATAACTATTTTTAACCAATGCCATTGTGTGTGTATAAGTGTGAAATAGTCACCCCTAGCCCCCCTCTCAGTAGAATTTCAACATCCGTAAGTGGGAAGGGAGCTAAGTTTTATAGCGCCAATGTGTTTATGATCAGAGTAGATGTTTTGGACATCTACTTCCTCCTTGGCCGGCCTCATAGGAACTCATGGATTCTGAAGTGCTCTTCCTGTAGGAACCTGGCCGGATCTGCTCACTCCTCTTCCTTCTCTATGAATTAGAGAAGTTGGGTCTTTTATTCCCTAGTCCCACTTGACTGATTTCTAAACCTTTATTCCTATATTTCTCATCTAGAATTCAGATTCTTCCCCCCCGTGAACTTACTCTTCCTGTGTGAGTGACTTGAAGCTTTGTCTTGCCCTCAATGTATTTTGCTCTTTAGAGGGCTCTTGGAAATTGCCCTTTTGCCTTGTATTGCATGCTTACATTTTTAGCAAAATACAGCCTAAGTTCTTAATTTTTGCCATTTTACTAATCTGGTAAAGCTTCTAGATCACTTCTCAGGGTACCCTTCCCCCACCGTTTTTGGGACACAATTTTCTGTAACTCAGGCTGGCCTTGAACTTTCTATGTATCTGAGGCTGGGCTTGAGTTTCTGATCCTCTTGCCCCTACCTTTCAAATGCTGGGAATATAGACATGTTCCATTTGCACCTAGAATGATGCCTGACTGAGGTCATTGCTGTTGGAATACAAGTAATAAGATATAAAAACCATTTAATGTTTTTAATAGATATATTTTATTATTCTTTTTGTGTGTGAGCACTATTGTCATATGTGTATGTGGCCAGAAGAGAGTGTTGTACCTTTGGAGCTGATGTTACAGGTAGTTGTAAGCCTCTAGGCATGGGTTCTGGGACTTGAACTTGGTCCTCTAGAAGAACAGTAAGAGCAGGTAACTACCAGGGCCAAATCTCCAGCCTGTCTCCACCCCCACCCCCACCCCACCCCCCTTTTTTTTAAGTTTTCTGAGACAGGCTCAGGTGTGGCCCAGGCTGACCTCCAACTTACTGTGTACTTGAGGATGAATTTGAACTCCTGTTCATTCTGCTTCTTTTCTCAAGTGCTGGGATCACAGGCATGTGCACCTCCTGACTTTTATTTGAGACAGGATACTCTATGGTCCAGACTGGTTTAGAACTCACTGTGTAGACTAGGCTGGCAGTCCTGCCTTAGCTCCTGAGGTGCTGAGCTCACAGGCACGAGCCAGCTCAAAAACTCAATTTGTAATTGGTAATACCTGCTTCTTAGTAGGTGTGTTAGCTTTCCATTACTCTAACACTTACCGGAGATAATCATCTTACAAAGAAAGAAATTTATTTTGCCTTATGGTTTTGGAGGTTTTACTCCATATGAGTTGGACTTTTGGTAAGACAGTATATTATGAGAGTGTGTCCCAGATCCACACTGCTCACCTTATAGCCATGGGACACACACACACACACAGAGAGAGAGAGAGAGAGAGAGAGAGAGAGAGAGAGAGAGAGA